GGGGAGGAGGACAGTGATAGGAAGAAGAAGAGGTGATGGCTTAGCGAGGGAGAAAGGAGAGGAGGAGGAGGGGGTTGGGGAAGGAGGAGAGTGATAGGAAGAAGAAGAGGTGATCACTTAGCGAGGGAGGAAGGAGAGGAGGAGAAGAGTACAAAAAAGAAAAAGAACGAAAAGAAGAAAAAGAACAACAAGGGCAGGAGGGGAGAGATAGGAAGAAGAAGAGGTGATGGCTTAGCGAGGGCGAAGGAGAGGAGGAGGAGAAGAGGACAAAAAAGAAGAACAAAAAGAACAAGAAAAAGAACAACAACAAGAGGAAGTGGAAGAATGAGCAGAAGTACTGGAACTTGGAGTCTTTGGAGAGAGAAAAAGGCTCCACTTTGCTCTGACGTTATGGATATCTCTAAGTGGGGGAATGGTGGGGCGGGGGGGGACAAGAGACAAGGAGAAGGAGAAGAAGAAAAAGAGGAAGTAAGAGCAAGAGGAAGAAGAAGAAGAAAAAGAAGAAAGAAGAAGAAGAAAAAGAACAACAAGAGGTGGAGCAGGAGCAGGAAGCAGTGCTGTAGTAGGGAAAGAAGTAGGAAGAGGAGGCGGAGGTCTCTCTGTCTCTCTCCAAGAACTCGCTGAAAAAGGAGCAGAAGAAGATGTAGAAGGATGACGAAGAAGAACGCGAAGAAGAATGCGAAGAAGAACGCGAAGAAGAAAGAATAAGAAAGAAGAAAAAAAAGAGAAAAAATGTGCACTTACTGTACGAAGGGGTTGTGAGCAGATGCGTGGGGTAGTGTGCTGGCAGCGATGGCGGGCTCAGGTTGGTGGTGTGTTGGCAGCGATGGCTGGCTCAGGTTCGCTGGAGTGGGTGTGGCTTTAAAACGATGCAGGGGAGGCTGAAGTGGGGCTGGCAGGGAAAGGGGGGAAGGGACGAAGACAGGCCGTAGCTAAATTTAAAAAAGGGCTGATTTTGGCAGATCAGCCATTTCCTACTTTGAAAACCGGGACCAGCAGATCCAGCGTTTCCTTTGAACCCTTGTGACTGATCTCTGCCGCTGACCTCCGAAGATCTGCCAAGATTGGCCGTGTCGTTTCATCAAGAATGCCGCCTGCGGCGTTTCATCGAGAATGCGAGCTCCTCTGGCCCCGGTTTTTAATTGTACCGGTGGTGGCGGCCTCCTTTACACTACAGGGGCATGAACATAGGCCCGAAAATCCCCAGAACGACCCACCAAGCAAAATCCGCTGGGGTGTATGGGGAGTCTGCACCGGCCCAGTCCCGACCTGGAGGCTCGCTGTTAGGGGACGGTCCCCGCCGGTTCATCTGGGGACCAGCCCTGAATTTAACTTATAATTCAGATATAATTGAATAAAATCAACGAATGGAATGAGTAATAATGGAAAATTGCTAAATTGAAAAGTATTAGAACAAAATGTAATGGAAATGCGAATTAGGAAGAAGTACAGCAAGAAGATAGATATGGAATAAATAAGAAGTCCCCCGTATGAGGGGAGAAGACTGACTGTATTTGGAAAAGAATAACGAAAAGTAAGCGAAGAAGAAAAAGAAGGGTGGAATAGAAAATAAGAAACTATTCGTTTTGAATGGAATCTATATATGAGGCGAGTTCACCCTTTCCGTGGGAGGTGACGGATAGTGTGGAGGGAGGAGGTCTGCCAGGAAGGTAGATGAGGCGAGTTCACCGTCTTCACGGAGTTGGATTTTATGCGGAGCACAATTTCCGTGCAAAGCGGCGACCCTCATCATGAGGGTATCTAACCTTGTTCATCAGATATATACTTTCGATTTCAGAAGTAGACTTCATTGTGAATGAATGTCTCTGACCTTGGCTGTTGGATATGCACATCTGAGCCAGGAAGTAGCCATCATTTGGACTGATTGTATCTGACCTTGTCTGTCAGATGTACACATTCCGACTTAGAGTGTATCTAACCTTGTTCATCAGATATATACTTTCGAGTTCAGAAGTAGACTTCATCGTGAACGAATGTATCTGACCTTGGCTGTCGGATATGTACATCTGAGCCAGGAAGTACCCGTCATTTTGACTGTGTGAGTGTATCTGACCTTGTCTGTCAGATGTACACATTCCGACTCGGAAGTAGCCTTCCTCGTGAGTGAGTGTAACTGACCTCATCCCTCATTTATCCCCCCATCCGCCATAACGAGCCACCGTCTGGGACCCATGGCCAGCTCTATTGTCCACCATTGGCTGTTCTTCTGTTTCATGTCTGCTGGTGATAAGCAAGCAGACTACCTTCTTTGCATGAATACAACGTACAGTCATTATAGTTGTATTTAGACTGAAAGATACCCCAAATTCATCTATAATGACCGGACGTTGTATTCGGGGGAAGACTGTAGCCCCCAGAATACACGGGGCAGTGTGTGTTGTGTGAAGGAAAAAAAAGGAAAAACGCAGAGGATGATGCCTAACTGAAGCAGAGGAGGAAGGGGGTGCAAATCAAACAAGCGAAATAGAAAAAGATACGGTTACTATGGAGATTGGGTAGCACATTGGAAAAACAATATATGAACAACAAAGAGAAGAGAGTCGTGAAGAATTCCCCTTGGTGTACGCTCGAATGTGGTGGAGCGCTTGCGTTCAAATGCGCCTCGCCCCGTGCGGTGAGAAAAACTTGAAATGTATGTGCCTTGGCAGGGCGCGCACCCTGCGGCCTGCATGGGGGCCATGGAGTGCTTGGAGGGAAAAAATAAAAAATGACAACCCAAAACTGCCTGAGGCCCCACCACCCATGCAGCAATGCATCCCCAGCCACCCCAACCGCCCTTCTCCCCCAACAAAACCAACTCCTTGCGCGTTCTTGCCCTGCAGTCCGAGTTTTCAATCGACACGAGGCAACACAGGAGTGCTCTCCTCCATCTTGAAATATCCCAGAGATGGAAGTGCTTAAACCACCAGTACTTGGGCCCAGCTATTGATGCCGAGCCTGAATATGCCCTGCGTGCCAAGTTTTGCCCAGACTGCTGGGGACGAGAACATGTAGGGGACATTTTCTGAATGGCACAGGTAACCAGTACTTATGCTGGACATACAGCCAGCAGCTGGTTCGAAAAGGGGCAGCCGTTTTCACTCGTGAATCAGCCCAGGGCGGCCACAAATGCAGTCAGATGCATTATGGAATCAGCAGCGTGAGAGGAAAAAAAAAGAAACGACCGAAGCATTGATTGCTCCCCGTCTCTCACGGGGAGCACATCAGAAACGGCCAACGATATTCTTCCAGAAAGAAACAAAGAACAAAAAGAGAAAAAAAGAAGGCAAACGGATCAGCGAGGCTCCCATTCTCGCATCACAAGCCCGTGGTCGGCCACGTGAAACAGCGGATGACCAACGGATCAGATCTCACAGAATGCGGATCTCAACAGTACAGACTGACTTCTGAGTCGTGCTGTCGGGAATATGTAGTACCGAAAAAAAAAAAGGAATATGTAGTACGAGGTTGGAGCTCAAAGTAACTGCTAGATCTAAGTGCAAAGTGAGACTGAATCCTCCCTTGGAACATGGAAAGATGCATTCACGGGGAATAGTGGACCAACGCCCTTTATCTGCCCGCCTACCCACTGTGAGAGGTGGCCCTCTGGCAATTGAAGGGCATATTCTCACCATTTTTGCCCGCTGAGTGGCGGGTGCAGCTTTATTTGCTTTTGTTTTTTTTTTCTCCCAGCAAGCTTTTTTATGTGTTTCCTTTTTCGTTTCTGGACTGCACGGCGTCCGTTTCCACATGCACGGAATAAACCAGAAGGACATTTTGCAGTCCGTTTGCAACTTTCCCGGGGCCCAACAACTTCCTCCTTCATTGCACGACTGGGCCTTCCCCAACCTGCGAAAGTTGCGGCGCGTGAACGGGGTAAGGCCCGCGGCCCATGTATGGGCCAAGTATTGGCGGTTTAAGAAACTTAGTTACCTTTTTTAAGTTTTTTATGATTTTTTTGAAAACCAAAACAGTGGCTCTATTCCAATGAAGCAAGTAGTAGAGGCATTTTGTTCAGAGAATGAAACCACTCGATTTCCAAATGAACATGCCGGCATTGGAGTACAGTGTGCAAATGTGTATATATGCTTATTGTGACATTTAGATGTCCCCCGCTGTATATCGACGCTGCAGAGAAAAAAAAGAATAACATGGCCAAAGTCAGGCACGACTCCGGCCTTGCTAGCCAGGCACCACCACCACGACGTGGCGGTATCATATGACATGGGCGATAGCATGTCAGTTGGGCGATATTGTAGGACCTGCCTGATCCCGCGTGTGTGCTATTGGCTTATATGTGAACATTAGGCAAAGAATGCGCTTGCCAGCACAGCAGTGCTCGGGCATTCGGCAAAACATGTGCTTGGCCCCGCAGCAGTACTCAAACATTTGGAAAAACTCCTGCTCGCCAACATAACAGATCTGGAAAACCATGCAGATTCATACGCGTGGGAAAACACAACCGAACGATGCGGACAGATCTCAAACTGAACTGGATGACGGGGACAGATCTGAAACTAAACTGAACGATACCAACAGAACTGAAACTGAAGTAAGGGCCATGGAATGAGACACCACAAGAAACTCGCCACATGCGTAAAAGAC